CCCCAAAACCCCAAAACCCCAAAACCCCGTTTAAAGCAAAAATTGTTGAAATTTGCAATATTAAGTTTCAAAGCAAATGGATGAGTTCAGTAAAGCCATGAGTGAAGAGAGAGTGCTATGGGATTTAGTGTTGAGGGATGTTAGAGATGAGATAGATGAAGAAATTAGACAAGTACTTGAGGATAAAGTGAGGCATTATGAATGAAAATTTTGGAATTACAAATTCGTATCTACTTCTTGATATTTCTCCCATTCTTATCTTTAAAATCTATAGCTTCAGCAACTTTATCAAAATTACACAGGTAAATTCTTTCATCAACTTCTAGCTGAGCTTCAAGATTCCTCCAGTCAGGAATTTGAAAACTTGGTTGCTCAACTAACCCAAGAGAACACAGAAATTTCTGCACAGGTAACAAAACTGAGCCAGAAAGTTGGTAAGATCATTTTTATCATCATGCATAGACAAATAAATTTGATGAAGTGAAGAAACTTACAGAATACAATGCCAATATTAAGCAGTAAACCTACCCTAAAACCATAGAGAGCAAGAAGAGATGCTACTTGATGTTGAAGAATGCCTCATTAAGGAAAAGCTTAGAGCTAACCTCATTCGTAAGTCCTCCATAATAATCTCTAGTTGAAGAGAGTGAATTCTATGATAAGTACGAATCACTTGATATTTCATAGAGAAAACCACAAAAATTTCCCAAACGAGATTGACTATATGAAAGCTGTGAAAATAACACTTAGCAACTGATATGAGAAAGCTAAGGAGACCATACCACAATTCAAGGAGGTATTTTTTATCCTTATTGATGCCTTAGAAGTACGAATCAGAACTACTACCTGCTCTAAAGGAAAATGTCTTCATCTTTGCTAAAAAGTTAACTAAGATATTAGGTAAGATACCCCAGTAATTTTCTAGAGAAAGAGAATGAGGAAGCAACCACTCGCTATATTTCAAAGGTAAACAGCTCTCTAATGCCTAGATCAACTCGATATTGGATAGCAATTTTCAGCAAAGGAAGAGAATTCAGGCAGATATTGACAGCATCCCTATTCTTGGCAAGATCAGGGACTATAACAAGGTGAGACAAATCTTTGCAGACTTCTGACTGAATATTAGGATACCCAATCAAACTTGTTTGATATCATCCGTAAGATATCCGCAGATCAAGGTACAGTCTTTCAAGTTATGTTTATGTAGAAGTATTGAGCACTCTTTCTCCCGAAACTCAGGAGCAGATCCAAGGAGTGGTCACTATGAGCAACAGTGAGATTAGCACAAAGGAAAAGGAACTGATAGAAGCCGCTTTTGTTAAGATTGAAAGATTATGTACATCCCTTGCTTAATTTCTAGTAAGAATCATGGAAAATCCAGAGCACTCTGAAATATACTCCCAGATGCTTAATAATTCATCCAGCTTGATGGATAAGCTCAAAGAGATTGCCTCGCTAGACTTTGAGGATGAAATGGAAACCGACCTAAGACCAATAGATCCTGAGGAGCTACTCAAATTTGTGAAAAGATTCCTCCTTTAATAATTCAAGTTTAAAGTAAAAAATAGGGGTTTTGGGGTTTTGGGGTTTTGGGGTTTTGGGGTTTTGGGGT